TGCAGAAATTCTCTCTCTTTTATATTTGTTTCTTAAACTATTCTGGCTGCCAGTTTTGGGTCCAAGGGCATTATTGCAGATGCTGTCATGTGGTTGGACTGCTGTCTGCTCCCCCACCCACCTTAATGCGTCTTCTACCCGTCATCCATATTTTTGCCCTGCCTTGTGTAGGTACGTTATGTTGATGTTAATAACGGATTTGGGGATTGGCTTGGGAGAATAAAGGTGGCAGGAGTGACAAATGGGTCATCGTAAAAACTTCTTGATTTAGTACTGCAACACTTCTAAGCTTTTTTAGAAGTTAGGAGCTTTGCCAAATGGGTAACTCCTTATTCAAGCAGTTAAGTGAAGTTCTCCAAATGTTACAGGGTTTTTTTTCCCATGTGATGAGACCCTATGTACTCTGTCAAACTGGATTTAATTTCAGTAGCTAGATCCCCATTTTCTGTGGCACTGCTAAATGTTTCCCAGCAGCTTCAGATAATTAATAAAAACATTTTTGAGTTTTACTGGGATAAATGTAAATTATTAATGTGGCCTGTGCAATAGCTCTCATTTTGCTCAATGTTTATTTCATGCTGTTTGGACGCTTTGTGGAAATTCTCCTGTGTGTGCCTTTGAAAATTCTGGTGACCTTTCTTTGATGAAGCTAAGTAATCAAATAGGAAAAAGGGGTCTCCTCTGATACTCAGTGTGATACTCAGATGTTGTAAACGTCGCATAAGTTACACTTGAATCCTTTTACCAGCAGTTGACAGCATCTTGCATTTGTGACAGGTAGGAAATCACGCTTCGGTTACGCAGGTGCCGTTGGACAAGGCAGTCACGGTACCTTGTGCTGAGAAGCAGGGAGCTGTGCGCCTGTAGCTGCTGTCCTGAAAATCTGCAAATTTATGGAACCTGGTGCTTGACTCGTCAAACGTGTGCCTGGCTTTGGCAGAAGAAATGTAGTGATGGGCAACAGCAAATATGGGATTGAAATGCTACTTATGATAGCGTTGTAAATAAAATTCCTGTTGGTGAAGTGGAGCTGGTCCACGGCAGGCTCAAGGCACTCTTTGTCCAATGTAAAGGCGCTATGGTTTTGTTCCAGAGCAGCAATTGTCAGAATCTTAATCACAGATTGACTGCTATTGGCCTGAAGCAAACAAAGGCAGTTCATGTGGTAGAAGGAGTGCGATGATCTAATTAGTTGGCTTTCATTGGGTTTGGTGAGACATAATTAGTGTGCAGCATGAAACCTCTCAGAAAGAGCTGGGCTGTTATCTTGTCAGACCTCTTGCCTTAGAAGGGAGAATTTGTCTTTGATTCCAACCTGGTGTTGTTCCATCCTAATATTTGGATCAAGATACACAGATTGATTCAGCCCCACGGTAGTATGGAAATGCCTCTCAGAAATGGATGAGTTATAAGCTATGCCTAAGAATTGCCACTACCTTTGCATCTCTGTTGGGTTACTACTTGTGTCTAGCTCTTTGACTCGCCTTTAAGAAGTGTGGATTTAGTTGCCCTTTATACATGACTTTTCCAGATGTCTTTCCTGTGTCTAGTCGTGTTCTGTGTGTCGATAAAGCACTGATGAATGTTTTTAATAAGCTGCGAAAATGTTGCGAGGTGTGATTTTTAAACCTGGTGTTGACAAGGTAACGGAATCACAAATAAGCTTGTGCTTTCTGTTGCTTTTACCGCACCCCTTGAAGAATGATTGAACCAGATTGCTTAATCGTTATTTTCCCATCCCATTGCATGAGGCCAGGGTAGTCCGATGAGTATCGTCTCAAGCGTACGCCAAAACTCGGTCCAAGCTCCCCTCTGGTTTGTAGTCTTTCCTCTAATACAAGAAATACCTTTTTGATGTTCCTCTGGCTTTTGTTGCAGGAAGTAGGATTGCATATTCCAAATGTTGCATGGCGATACAAACAAAATCTCTTTGCTTCACTGAAGTCCGTGTATTGAGACCTGGTTAGGAAAGACAACTGCATACAGGAATTTTGGAGCCCGTTGTGTTAAGACGACATGTTGATGAAAGTTTCTGACTTTGAAAGCTCAGGAGGATTATTGCCTGGATTTCTGTCCAACTTTGTCAGTCTTCCTCAGCTTAACGTCTAGATAAAAAAAAAAATTGACTGTGGGGAGGCAATTTAATTCCTTGTTGAATCAGAATCCTTCAGTGTTGATTGTGGACCCTGTTTAGGTGTGAGTGAGTAGAGATGTTGAGGCGATTCTTGGTGAAAGTTTGCTCACGGGTACCAGTGCTTTGAGGGTGTCACCTCTGTTGGTCTCCTTTCTGGGGCTCTGAAAGTTAGGGGAAGGAACAAAGATAAATGTGTTCTTTCAGCTCTCAAATGAGCTTCTCTCTGGAAAACCGTGCCACAAGAGGGTGCTTGTGCAACCCAGAGGGCTCTGTTAATTGGAAGGCTTTCCTAGCTCGCTGGCACTCGGGAGAGTTAATAGGTTGAAGCAGTATCACCTCTGCTGGTCTCCTTTCTGGGGCTCTGAAAGTTAGGGGAAGGAACAAAGATAAATGTGTTCTTTCAGCTCTCAAATGAGCTTCTCTCTGGAAAACCGTGCCACAAGAGGGTGCTTGTGCAACCCAGAGGGCTCTGTTAATTGGAAGGCTTTCCTAGCTCGCTGGCACTCGGGAGAGTTAATAGGTTGAAGCAGTGATCTTGAGGAATCGGTTGTAGCCAAGTGACCTTGCTGTATGGAGATGCTGGAAGAGCTGTGACAAGCTACAGTCGCATCTCTGCGATGAGTAAAATACAGCAGGGCTTTGGAGACTGGAAACAATGATTCTTTGAAAATGTCACTGCCTCGCTCAGAAATGCCCAGTGGTGGATATTAATAGCTTTTCCTATTACCACGTTGTTTCGGACTCTTCTCCCTTCTGTAGTGAAGTCGCTTCCCAGGCTGTTCTGCTGCGGTCTGCTGTGCTGCAAGAAAACTCCCAGCTGATGCAAAAAGCTACCTGTTGGTAGCCTCTGCAGCCTCGGTTGGTCTGAACCTCCCTGCTCAATCCGCTGCGTTCTTCTTCTTGTGTTGTCAGGGGAGGAATGCAGAAGGGCTGAGGGATTTTCACGGGGTGAAATACGCCTGCAGAACTTGCTCTGTGCTGAAGGCCGAGAGAAAAACGTGCAGGAACGTCAGGAGTTTTGGGGGATGGAGTTGACATGAGGGGGAGGCAGGTGAAACGTGGATATGTGGATAATATGAGACATCTGAACCTTGTGCCAGCAAGAGCTAGTGGAGTCCGTACCAATCAAAAGAGCAACTCATCACAGCAGAACTGATCTCAGGCTTGACTTTCTCTGGATTGGCGTTGCAGGACCTTGCTGTTCTCTGCTCCCAGCTTCCCCCTGTGCTTGCTCTTCCAGCTCTTGAAGCCCCTCTGTCACCTTCATAATAATTCACCCCCTTGTTTCTCCTCCTTACAAAATTTCTTGGGGGGCAGGGGGAAACCCCCATAAAACAGTAAAAGGGAGTAACTGGTGGGTGTTGGTTTTTTTTTCCATGTGTCTCCATGTTTTATGTCTTGCAGCTATTATCTGCATTTGTGCAAAGGCTGTCTTCTATTTTTGCATGTAACATGATGGACTGTGATTCCAGATTTTTAGATGCTGTAGTAATGCAAGTGATGTCTAGGCAAGCTTATGGATTACAACTGAAGGGATTTGTTTGCAACAAGGTTATCCGTTTAGTTACCTACAGCAACAGGTGATTTTTTTTTTTATCATATAGCACAACAATGCTTTATAAAGCTCCCAAACCCAAATATCTTCACAGCTTTTGTCTGAATACTTCTTTCATTTACCAGCAGAGGAGGACAACCTTTTCTGCAGCCAACCCGCCCTGCCTCTTGTTAGCTCATCCAGCCTTCAGGACTGGTGTTGACTGTTGAACTCTTGAAATTGTGTTAGCCGTTGTTCTAAATGGCAAACTGACATTGACACCAACCACGAATTGAGGAAAAAAAAAATAAAATTGAGGCATCCTTCAGAAGTACCAGTTCAAGGAGGGGAAAAAGAGCTTCCTGCTTTGCCATCTCTTTCCCATCAAAGCTAGGATTTTTGGAGGTTTTGTACATCAAAGTTATTCTTAATGTATTATTTAGCCCTCTCAGCCCCTTTGTTGAGTGATAAGGGGCAACGGAATCGTTTGTGTTTAAACACAAAAACCCTGAAAACGGGCTTCAGGTTGTACAACGAGTAGCCCCTTCCAGCTGTGGAACACAGGTGCAGCAAACACCCGCTAGAGTAGTCTCCCGTTCTGTTCGCAGGCTGTCTCCCAACACCATGGTGACGCCCCACAAGAAGAGCATGCTGGGAAACGGAAACTACGATGTCAACGTCATCATGGCAGCGCTTCAGACCAAAGGCTATGAGGCGGTTTGGTGGGACAAGCGCAGGTACCGAGCAGTCTTGTAATTCTGGAGATGGCCTCTGTTTGTAAAAACGAGAAAGAGATGAAGTTAAAGTACCAAAATATAAACTGATCGCTGTCTTTTTTTCCGTGCCCTTTCAGGGATGTTAACGTCATTGCCCTGTCTAACGTGATGGGCTTCATCATGAATCTGCCGTCCAGCCTTTGCTGGGGTCCCTTGAAGCTCCCCCTCAAGCGACAGCACTGGATCTGCGTCCGGGAGGTGGGAGGCACCTACTACAACCTCGACTCCAAACTCAAGGTGCCCGAGTGGATTGGAGGTGAAAGTGAGCTCAGGTAGGATTTTTTTGGTCTCCCGTTCCTCCTCAAATCTTCCCCTGTTGGAGGTGGGGAATCTGTCCGTAAACAGTTAGTGATTGAAACATTTATGGTTGACCTTCAATAGCAAAGATTTGAGAGTAATAAGGTTCTTGTGCCTCTACTTAGATTTATACCCAGTTTGCGCGAAGCTAGGAAAATGCTGCGGCAGCGGTGATCTCTGTGAGCTCAGGAGAGCCTGATTTCATCTCTTACGGGGCTGGCTCTGTCACTAGCGATGAAGGTAGAGGCCAAGTCTGGTATTAGTGGGTGACACCTGCAACGAGACGTGCTGTGCCTCGCCCTCTCCTCAAACGTGAGACTATCGGCGTTCCCTCGCCTCTTTAGCAGCGATCTGTGTGTGTACTCCCAACAAAAGGCTCTCCAGACTGCAAGGGCAGCCTTATCCCTGACAGCACCAAAAGCTGCTCGTTAAGAATCACTTCCCTATATAAGCATATGCTGCACCTCTGGCTTGACTCCCCTCCCCTCTTTAATCTTAACCCGAGATGTGTAACTCTACTTTTAGCTTTGTAAAGTCTCACCTGCTCTTAGTTGCTGTTTAGCCTCTGTTCTATCCTGTTCTAAAGCCTGCTAGCAGCTTTGCTGTCTTGACTAGACTTGTTCTGAGGTAGGGATTGCACGTGAGCAGCGTTTGCGGAGCCTACCGTGCCATTACAGTCTTGGTAAAGTGAATGTCAGCCTTCGGGGAACTTCTGGGATAAAGTAACACAGCTCTGGAACTACTGTGCAGAGCTGCTGGCGGATTTTAACCTGGGTGTGCTGTTCCTCAGCGATAAATAAGGGCTTCCTATATAGGCAATTTTGGAAATCTGGGCCAAAAGATATCAGAGAAAATGTTGCTTTGACTTTCATAGTTATTGGAGATAATCCAAGTTTGGTATTAGAAAAAACTTACGGGCAGAAAGGGGCTGCAGAACCATGTCAGATGACACGCTGCTGCTACGACCTGCCGTAACAACGTGTAAATGATGTTGTGGTTTGTTTTGTTTTTTTTTTTCCCCACAAGTATTCCAGATTTGTTGGAATTATTTTAGAATCCAGTGGGATTCTTGATCTCGGAGATCTGAAGAAACTGAACTTGGTTTTAATTCTATTTTTACCACCTTGGAAAACTGGAAAATTACATCTATATAGACTTACCTCTGCTGAGGTTAAGATCATCTCTATCTGATTCTGCAATAATTTTCTGGGTGGAGGTTTGTTGATTCTAGTGGGGCAAGTTTAATATTTGTTTGGGTGATTTTTTTGGTCAGAAAATAACTAAAGACAATGCGTGGGGGTTTCTTCTCATTTCTTGTCATGTTTGCATCATTAGTTGCATTTAGTTGTTGTAGAAGATGACAAAGTTCTACATTCAGTAGTGCTTATTTCTGCTTCTCTTTATGACAGGAAATTTTTGAAACACCAGCTGAGAGGAAAGAACTGTGAACTCCTGCTGGTGGTGCCAGAGGAGGTGGAAGCACATCAGAGCTGGAGAGCTGACGTGTGACCCAGCCTGACTCTGTCCTCCCACTACAGCTCTTCCCCTTTACTGAACTCCCAACGTCCTGAAACCTGGATAATGGGTACCCTGACTCTCCTCATCTGGAATTTCCTTTGTTAGGCTCTTCTCTTCCTTCCTTGGTGCAATAGGGCAACGGCGTAGGACATTAGGGGTGGTGGGTTGGGGAAGAATTTGAGAGCAGAGTGGAGGAAACTGGAAGCCAATCGCTTTAATTGCAAAGGCGGCTGAGCCGCGTGCTCTTCAGCTAGCCAGAAGGCATTGCGCTCTTTAAAACTGGGCTTTGGGTGTCTGGAAGCCTCTGGCCTCCCTTTCCACGTGTGGTGGGACGCTGCTCCCTCCGGAGCTTGCAGGGACCGAGCACGCTGCCGCCTCTTCACAACTCTCTCCCTCCGAAACACGTCATCGTGAAGATGTTTGCAATTCCCAAGGGTCTCTCAGGATACTCACAAACACTAGGAATGGTACGGTGCTCAGCACGACCCTCTGCTGCTTAGGGATGGTTTGTGCCAGGAATTAGGGAAAAAAAAAATAAAAATAAAACCAGTGTCATCTTTGAAGAAATTCTCCGGGTAGCTAGAGGATTCTTCCCCAGGGTCTCCAGGGATTTACGTATGTGGTGAGCGGTGGTTCGGCAGCGTGTGGGCTGGCTAAGGCGACGTGGAAACAGCGAGCTCAGGCTAATTGAGGAGTATCGAGTTTCTGGACTGGAGAGAAGCCGTAGTCTGCTTGGGTTTCTTTCTGCTATGTTCGTTTTGGGGGTTATTTTTTCTTTTTTTTAACATCTATTTTGGTTTGCTGCATGGTCACCCGGTAGTTTAGGGGCTGCTTGGAGAGAGGAATGAAACCGAAGGGGGTTTGAGAGGAATTCATTCCCTTTTATTTTCCTCTTTCCAGAAGTCTAGCCTATAGTCGCAAATGTCATGTGAAATGTCCCCGAAAGAGGTAAAGTTACCAAGAAAAAAATTGGCTGAGGAGAGAAGCCTTTTTAGTAGTCAGTTTTTGCCCCTTTTATAGCTACTAGCCAATGATGTGGGAGATGCAGAGGGTCCACCAGGACCTTTGGGCGTTAAGAGAGACCCTGGCCTGGTCGTTGAACCAACCTCTCTTTTAGCGTTGGCTCTGACAAACATTCCATGAATGGACGAATCGCTTTTTTCCACCCCTCCCTTCCGTGAGGAAAAAGGAGACGCTACGAGGAATCTCCACTGGCTGTTTGCTGGTCACAGCTCAGTCAAGCCTTCCACAGCAGAAGGAGGAAACGCTGAATTTGGAACAGACTTTGTTGCGTTTAGCGTTTCCCTCCTTTATACATGGGATGTCTCAGTTAAACAGCAATCTCTGGGAAGTGACGGAGCGTGAAGGATCCCGCTCCATCGCGCAGGAAAAGTCTCGTTACTGGTGTTCGAGCTTCCAAAAGGAGGGGTCGTAACTACTTTTTCTCAGTTATTTTTCTCTTGAGAGCTCTACAGACGCACGAGTGGGTGCTCGAAGCTGAGAGACCACCAAAATCCCACCTTCCTAACAGAGGCCACACGACACGGGGATGGGTGCTGTTCACCAACCCCCGGACACCTGGCGAGCACCATTTTGTCATCTTTGGAGCACAGCCTCCCGCAGTCAAGGGCAAGTGGCTCTTCTGTTTTAAAGACCCAGCGTTTCTATAAAAAGTCCTATTTCGTAACACATTCCAATGACCAATACCAGCTGGCAGAGTTTTTAAACACTTTACAGGCAGGATGCGCAGCCTGCAAGCATTCTGCTCGTGACTTGAAGCCATTTCTTCAAGAGGGAAGGGAAAAAAAAAAACAAAACTCAACGGCAACGTTTTTCTATGCCGATTAAAGTCGCACTTTGGAGAAACCCTGTTTGCATGGCAACTGCAAGCCAACAGATCAGTGCACAATATGCAAAGATGTTTTAAAATATTTTGGGGCTATTTTCCTCTCCTTGTATTTCAGCTTCTTTCCCGTGGGGGGGGGAAACAAAAGTGTGATCCAGCTGCTCAGGTAAAGGGAAAGTGTGTGATCGCACCCCTGAGGGAGGCGAGGCTGCTGTGGGTGGGCG